CAGGAGCTACAAGATTAATGCAATACTACACTATGAAAAGAAATCTTTTTGAAGCTACTAGCAACTACTGAGTGCATAATATTTCACATCTGGACTCATTCCTTTCCATTTATAACCATGTTCAACAACTGCTTTGAAGGAAACAAAAGGCCTGATTCAGCTTATAATGACAGTGGGAGCAGAGTAGCTTAGTTATTTGTGAAGTTTGTTCGCATTCTGTTGTGTGATCGTGGCATCTGCTCCTGGCAGCCCCATTACCTCAGCTTCCAGCTGTCCTGTGCTCATCACAAGCTAAATCACAGGTCAGTAATCAAACGCATAACTTAGCAGCTTATCTCTGACGTGAATAACTACAGCCCAGTGGAATGGGTATAATGGCTCATGATAAAGAAAGAAAATATATAGCAGAGTCGGAGATGGGGGAAAGCCAGACAACAGTGTGATTCTTTTATAGACCAAAAGAAAAAAATATTGAGGATACATATCAGAAAGTATGCATTATCTACAAAAGGTACATGACTTTCAAGCTCCTGGACTTTCTCTATTAAAATATATTGCCTGCGAAGCCAGGGGATAGTATTTTTATATTCTGTATGTTGCATTATTCATGTTCTCTTCTCTATTTTAAAAGCTACAACAAGTGTAAATCAGACGATCTGGATGGTATTCAAAAAAGTAATTTATCAGCATAATTAAGTGGTGGGCAAACCACTGGATGGATGTGTAAAAAGTATAAAAATGAACAGATTATTCACTTGCTTAATTGCATAAATACAGTTACTATAAAATGATTAGCAAGTAAAATGAAAAAACAAAATAAGTACCGTTAGCTGAGACCTTGCACTACACTAAGAACAACAGTTTTTTTCCATACAGGTAAAACATGTTATATACAAATGCATTTCCAGGAAATGCAAAAGGCATTAAAACAGTGTTCAGTTTAACCAGTTGCCTAGTTTAGCTGCATACCTTCTTTATCTTCGTCCTCCTCTGCACTCTCTAGTCCTCCCGCCTCATCCTGGGAAGGGTGCTCCTGAGTTGGATGGCTCTCAAGTTCGTCTTTGTGCTCGTCCTGCTCTGGTTTGCTGGAGCCTTCAATCATGCTCTGAGGAGTCCTTTTCTCTGCCTCACTGCTCCTCTTGAGGCTCTGCGAGTCCAAGCTGTCCATTGACTCGCTTCCATTCACACAGTCCACTTTGGATACTAGGCAACCTTCTGTGTGCTTGGGTTGAACCTCAGCATTTGAAAACTCACACATTTCAATCAAAGGCTGGAAGTCAGCCTGCTTGGCCTGGCTGTCCTTGTCTGCCTTGGGATCAAAACTGCCACGAAAGCGATGTTGTTCAGTGTGTTTCTCTGTGTTTACAGACTCTGTCTCTTTGGATGTGGGTGCCTCTTTCTTAAGTGTTGGCTCCTCTGTAGCTTCACTGGCATGTGGAGGTTCAGCAAGAGCGGCAACAGGGGGCTCATTGGAGCTCTCCTCCTCTGTGGAGGAGGCATGGGGATGGTGGCCATTGGGCTGGGGACCCATGGTATCACAAGATGAATCTTCATCCTGTGTCAAACATGAGTCACTGGGCCCTGCAGCTTCTACTTCTGCCTCAGGCTCTTCATCCTCCTCTTCTGTTCCCTTCTTGTAGATCTTCCTCTTACGGATGATGCCCCGCCCCCAAGATGGCCGCCGGCGAATCTTTCGCTTTAAATGATCTGATACAGAGAAAAAAAAGGGAGGAAAGAGCAAACTTTATTAATTCAAATAAGCACTAAACATTCACATAATTTTGAAATATAAATTGCAATAAATGAACAGCTGTTCAGGCCAGTGATTCATACCAACATTCAAACAACACCAAAGTTCTACACCTTTAAAACTTCAAGTAAATACAATTACAGGTATCACATTTCATGGCCCACTGTATCAGTGCCCACTGCACTCTTCAAGCACATAACTGAACACGTGTATATCTGTCCCAGCATTTCTCAAGGACAAAAAGGCTGCTAGTTTCTAGGTCTCAAAGGAGGCTGAGCATACAAGATGATGAGACTTGGCAACGTTGACTGTATTTAAATCTGGACATTTGGCCTTCCACAAAGAGCAACAAGCAGTGGGTGACAAAGACTACAAGAAAGCAGCAGACAGACAGAGTAGTTCTGCTATACCATAGATGTTGAACACTAATGACAACAGATGGTGCTTGGGCTTTTAAGAGGAAGGGGAAAACCAAAGTCTGCTCACTGAAAACGCAGTAAAAGTGTCATAATAGGCAAGCAAGAATATTACATGCAGTGAAACTTCAAGGCATGTTGCCTTCATTTACTGCTTTTCAAAAACACACACTGAGATGCAGACCAGCGCAGCAAAGTCATAGAAGGGCAGACAGTGTGAAAGAGAAACAAGTCAGTTTCCTAGGGACATGGGCATTTGAACATGACAGTGAGTGGCATTATCATGACCTGTGAGCGAGACACACAACCTAACCCCAAAGGAACTCTTTGGTCTTGGCACAAAAGGCTTTCAAAGCTTATAATCATCTGTTGTATCCCATCAGGCAGCTTTGACAATGCAAACGTCTGAGTGACTCCAGAATGAGGAAAAAACCCAGTTATTCCTTTATAAAATAACTCAAAAAGGACGAATGCATAACTCAAAAAGTACTCTGCGTGTATGTGGTGTGTGTGTGTGTGTAAATGAGCTCAGTAGTGGACAGAGCCACAAGATCACAGTTGACTTATTTAAATCTATAAAGTCCAAGCCATTATAATTCTGTCAAGGGCCATTGGAATAATATAAATCTGCCAAAGTGGGACCTTACACATCAGTCAATAACACATGGCAGCTTGGCTCAAAGGACTAAATAATCTGATCAGAAGTCATTTAAGTTATTCAGCAGAGATCAAACTATACAGTGTACACCGAGGAAAGTTCTTTGCTGTAATACTACAGAAGGTCTGCGCTGTATCAGTGGTACCTCTACCACATTCCCCACAAAAAAGTGGCAAACTCCTGAGAAGAAATCATGATACAGTACGTTTATATGCCACCTGTTAAATTTCTGCTCTCCCCTAATGCTTTGAGCCATAACTAATCGTGCCATTCTACAGATGTGAATGCACATCAAAAGATAGAAAATGAACCCTTACTCTGAATACTTCTTTCAATGCGGAGGCAAACAATTAAGGAAAACATGAAAGGGAATAATTAGTAACCCAGTGACCTAATCAGTGACCAGTGACAATCTAATTTATTGAGTGTGTGTCTGAGTTATTGTTTTATTTTTGCACTGAATCCATTTATTTTATTTTAGTTATCGTGATTTTATTCTGTCTATGTAAAAAGTACTTTGGTCAACTGGATGTTGTTTTAAAGTGCTATATAAATAAATCTGATATGATTTGAAGCCACACATTTTCTCCAGCCACAACCAGTACAACAGACAATCCAGAGGGGAACGAAGTATATTTAGTGCCAGCTAATGCTGTAAAATTATAGTAACAAACAGCATTTTACATATGTTAATGCAGTAGGTAGATTTGGCTATGTACTATGTCTTACCACACAGACACACAAAGAGTACTTTTTAAAACAAAAACAACATGTAGAGTAAATCTATACACAGAAAACTACACAGATATTTACCATCATTGTCGATTGCTGACCAGGTTACCGACGATTCCAGTATTATAATTTTCTCTAGGCTTCCTCTATTTCTTAACTCCTTTGTTCTAGACTCTCATATTACACTTTCTCAGCTAAAAAAAAATACATCCATCTTTCCCTGGGTATCTAAACTCAAACTAGAATGTGCTGAAATGCTGCCTTCAAACGCTCAATGAACTAAGTGTCCCAGCACTGCTCAGGCTGCATATGTCATACCGCTGTGGGACTAATGATACCTTTCAAAAATACTAGCATTCTGCAAGTACAAGACAATGACATGACATCACAGAAATGATTTATTGGTATCCCACAAATATTCCATAAATATCTACACACTAGACTGGTGTTTAAGACACTTAAAGACAGGAGAGGAACTGGGCGGTATTCCCAGCAGGGGCCACCAGAGCTGAAAATTTTAAGAAACAATGAGGCACATCCCCCTGCCAAGGCCTCCTACCACTGGCCATAATGTATGTCACAGAGCCTTTCTCAAGTGGCTACAGGGGCTGCTGGCAGACCTGGTTTCAAGGTAGGATACAGCTTTGTTTTTTTGGACCTTCCTGATCTGACTTGGAAGGAGAGGACAGCCTTAGGGTAAGTATGCAGCACACAGAGAGCTCCATTCTTCTCTAGGCATGACTGGCACATAGGAGAGATGCTCTGGTATAAGTGGAGGACTGGAGATGGAGGAAAAGAGCAAGAACAAAGTAGCAGAAAACCTGCTAGGCAACTTGGATATTTCTGAATGCTGACATCCCATCAACACCGCGTGTGAACATGTCTTCTTCTAGTCAGAACAAAGTTTTGAGCACTGTTTTGTTTTTATGTTACACAGGGGCTCCAAACTAACATTTCATACTGGTGACAATGGTGCCACCAGTGCTAGATTTGGTGGCACCATCTCGACTTTACAACGCAATACAAAAGAATCTGTACTTTTCGGAAATTATTTTAAATAACCCTAACAACAGAGACAGTGTCACAGGGATTGTTAACGTCTGACCACCATTTGTACAGTGAGAGCAGTTCGTAAATAACCAGTTTATTTAGCAGCTGCACCTAGTGTGACGTTTGGAAAAAAGTGATTTACACCTTAAACAAATTTGGTTGCAAAATGTGACTGTTCACTTTCAGTCTGAAGCCCTGATGTAACTTTCAGAATTCAGATTTAGTACCGTCACCTGACAATGGTCAGCGATTAGTCATAGCTTGGTACAGAAAATTTTTGCTCTTCTGCCCCAAATTTTAGATTTTGAAAACATATTACAAGTTTTATCAAACACTAGGTAAAGGAAAACCTCAGCACTGTTATTTTGAAAAGAACATCTTAAAAGAAGCAGCATTTTCTGCTGACCCTTCATTTCCTTTTTAGCCTTCTCTGGATCTGAACAGGATTTTTTTTTTTCTTTAAACACAAACAAACCAAAAGAAACCATCCACAATGCAGTGAAAAAGGTCTTGCTCATCAGCTTTCACCATCACAGCTATGAAGTACACTCCTGAGGGAGGCAAAGGTGAGACAGAATGGCAGCAAATGACTTGTCATAGTACGCTTGTAAATAATGCATGAAAACTGTTAGAGCATGAAAAGCCAACCAGAGGTTAGATATGCTGGGGGAGGGAAGAAGGAAGGGGGAAAATCAGAGCACTTTGTACTGATTAAAAGTGTCTAACCCATACAAGATTCATGCAGTGGCACAAACATTTCAAGCTGCCATCACACATGGTTGAACAGAGTGCGCATGCGCACACGGACAACTACAACTTTCAAAAGCGAAAAGCCCCAGGAGAGTCAAAAAAACTGCCATACCGCCAAGTATTAAATCAATCAATCAACCCAGTGAAACTAAGGGACGATTCAGTGGCATACAGTTGATGCCTTTGGGTGGAATTGTGAATGAGTGCCTTTAATTTACTGGTTTCTTGATATAATCATTCCTAGCATTCGGTAATCTAATTGCAACTCATCAAAATGCAGTCACATGCAGGGCTGAAGAGAAGACATAGGAATAGAATAAAACTTAAAAACCGACAGATCCTATACTGTGTTTTTCCTTTCTATAGGCATATGTGGCAAGACAGATGCTGTCTCTATAGCACACTCGAAGCAGTAAAGTCCCCAAAGCCTTGACAGTATAATCCAGATACATTGCTATTGACGGTTTATACAAGGCCCATGCAAGAAAACTTTGAAGCACTGCATGTCCATAGCATAATGTAATATGATGGAGGCCATTTATTACTTTTATATGCTCCTGAGACACACAAGCCCATAAAAGCACATGTATCAATCTCAAACAGACTGGTAGGACAGGTTGGTGAGCTCAGTCCCATATTATCATCAGTACTAACTCATAATTACTGTATACCCCAAAGCTCATTAAACAAATCTAGGCAATCAATCCAATCTGCTACTGATTACATTTTTTTTTATCATTTCTTTCCCTCTTAAAAGGAAAAGTTCAGCATTCTGGTAAATATGCTTATTTGCCTTCCTGCCAAGACTTAAATGACAGGATTATCCCCACTCTCATGGTTATCTTAGCACAAAGCCTGAAAACAAGGGCAAACAGTTGACCTGGCCTGTCTGTCCAAAGGTAACACATCTACCTATGTGCACCTACGGTATAAAGCTCACTATTTACCACACTGTATTTCATTTAGATAATGTGTACAAAAACAGCAAGTGTAAAAACAACAAATCTACATTTTACAGGAGTTGTGTGTCTGACTGTACTGATTGTCAGGCAACTAGTCCAAGCATTTGAACCAAAACAGAACAGGCACAGGTCATACAGTAAAATTATCATCTGAAATGGAGACAGAGCATTGCCATAGCTCACCAAACGGCATACAGATGTTCTGCACTTAACTGAAAATTAGGAATTTGTTCTGATCATAATTCAGATGGGGAGAAGTGCCAGAGTCTGTTTTTATCCACTGACATGAGCCTGCTTTCTCCACCCTTCATAATATACGTGGATAATGCCACAAACTAGCCATACAGCACGTGTGTATAGTTTGTGTCATTATAGGGAAGGCCTCCAAT